TTGGACACAGTAGTAGACGGATATTGAATATAGGCAAATATTGAACTTCAGATGCACGATAACTTCATAAAAGCATATTAGCGACGCAGAGATATTCTGTGACTTCCATGTCATCATTAATTGGATATGCACTCACCATCGGAATTGACAAGTAGGCACGCTTTTAAAGATGCATCTATTTTATATGGGTTTTAAATTCCAATACATCAAAATGAGAGATCAACACCCATACTGCTCAATTCAAGTGAATAGTAGTGATTAGAATCAGGGCTTTGATAATTTTTTTCGAAAGCATTTAATTTTGTTTTTGTAAATAAAATGTGGTGTCTGATGGCTAAGTGTCTGCCGCACGGTGCCACAGGTTTCTAGTTTGAGCACCGCGATGGCCTGGATGCTTGTAGTGGTTCGGAATCCATTTTATTCTCTTTAAACCGGAGGTCCCGGTCTAATATGATTATTGGACGTAGGGCTGACAACCGTATCCCGTAAAAAGAAACACATCTTATATGTTGGATTCTTCTGCATGGCCTTGATCCAACATGGGGCCATGTTGTGCCATTGAAGAAGAAATAAAATGTATTTGAAATCAGTTCTCTCTGTATTGTTTAATATTAAATTATATTTTATCAATTCAGAATTGGGAAACAAATGTGTCCTTGCAAAAATACTAGATTATATTTTACTTTCACCAAAAGGCGCATTCAAAATGAATAGTTTTCGTAAATTTATTACTGAAAACCGAACGTAAATCGCAATCTGGAAAATGGAGTTTTCCTCCAAATTATTGTTAACTTCTACTGAGTGATGTATGCGAAAACTTTCTTACTGCATGGAATATTGTTTGTTATATGTTTATGTCGTATTCGTTTTGCTTCATACTATGTACATAATATTATTTTAACGTTTTGAATTAATATTTAATAGAAACCAATAAAAATAAAGAAATATATGTTTATGTGCCGTGAAATTTTACAATTTTTCCCTATGATGATTTATTTTAAATACATAAATCCATTTTTATGTACTTAAATTAAATTAATCCAAATATTTTTTTCTGAAAAGGAGCTCCAAAAATGCATACTTTTTTGGTAATTTTATTACTATAACATAAGGTAAATTTCTCCATGAGAAATAGAGTTTTCTCCTAAATTATACGTTTATTAAATTTTACGTTCATTGCATAAGGAATTCAAACTTTTTCATTTGATTCAGAATATTGTCTGTAATACGTTTATGTTGTATTAGTTTCGTATGATGGTAAATAAATAATAACATTATAAAATATAGTTTGAAAATCCTTAAAAACTAAGAAATATGTGAAGAGGCATATATGACTCATGAAGTTTTACAGTTTCCCTTTTAATGATGATGTTTTATTTTAAAAAGATTCATAATCATATTCTTTTAATTCCTGTAAATCTACCATCACTCCATAAGTGGTACTGAAAGAGTTATAAAGGAATACCAGTAGAAAACTGATAAATGATATTTTTTCTGTTACTGTCTGACACAGTGATGGAGTGTCCATCTCCGGGCTAATAAGTCAACGCCTTGTCGTTCCTCTAACAAAATCACGACGCAAGTGGTGGAAGATCGTCAGCCCCCTGCAAAGATTAATCGTGACATGCTGTCAGACAGTCAAACGACAGTCAGACCTAACATAACTCTTAAGAAATGGAGGTTTATCTTAAATTTTACATCCATTTCATAATATACTATTCAAATGTAGTATCCAAAGTAATATCTAAAATAATAAGAAATATTAGAGAGTTTTTGCATACTGTAAGTTAGTTACCGTAGGACGTCCGTTAGCTTTTTCTCCCTAGCGCGCATGCTCATAGGAAATTATGTTTCCTATGAGCATGCGCGCTAGGGAGAAAAGGCTAACGGACGTCCTACGGTAACTAACGTACGGTATGCAAAAACTCTCTAATAATATCCCAAATAATATAATGTAGTATCCAAAATTTTGAAGAAGACGCAGAATATTGCTTGTTATAGGTATAAATTATATTAACTTCTTTTGATAGTAAAATGATATTATAAAGTTTTTCTATATAATTTTGAAATGCATAAAATCTAATAAAAGAGGAGGTATACATAAGCCATGAAGTTTTCCTATATAATAATGATGCCTTATTTTAAACAAATTCAAAATCATATTCTTTTAATACCTGCTAATTCATATGTGGTACTGACAGGGTTATAAATGAACACTAGCACCAAAGGGATAAATGATCTTTTTTCTGTTATTGTCTGACGCAGTGATGGAGTGTCCATCTCCGGGCTAATAAGTTAAGGCCTTGTCATTCCTCAAACAAAATCACGACGCGAGTGGTAGAAGATCGACAGCCCCCTGCAGAGATTAATCGCGGCACGCTGTCAGACAGTCAAACGCCGACAGCGAGCACTTTTCATCCGTTTTAAAGTCGAATCAGCCCTCGCAACTCTCGTAATGGAAGTCGGCCAAATCCTTCTTTTTCTTTTTTCATTTATTCTGTTCCCCTTCTTCCAGTAACAAATTCTGTTCCTTTTGAAGATTCTGTGAGAGTTCGCCTTAATTCGTAAGTCACTTCCCAAATCAAGAGTGAAGCCCTTTTTTTTCTATTTTGCAGGGGGTGGCGTTTGATGCTTTATCAGACTCCAATCTTCCATTCCTTTCAGCAAAGGGGACCCCCAGAATAAATTGCGAGAAATTCCGCCATTCGATTGCCAATTTGGCGAAAATTGCATCCACCTATTTCGGCTACGGGTAGGGCATAAAAAGAGGCATGCATGAAAGGCAGAGGGAAAAAAAGAGCCAGTTCGTCTGGTCTAATCACGAGTCTCTATAGATGAACTGTGATAAATGCTGATGAACATTTACACTGATCTGTTGCCATGGCGACCTGGATTCATGCTTTGATTGCAGAAACTGTTGCTATGGATGGAGAATTGGACATCGACGAATCCTTCTTGCTTGTCTGTCTCTGTCCACCATTGTGGTCCACGCAGTTTCTTGAAGTGGTCAATAATGAATCCAAAGATTTTTATAAATTTGTTTTAGTGGAATAAACTTGTTTTAGCCTTTTCAAAGAATCTGAAAATTATACGTACGTTTATTACTATTAAAACAGATACAAATCAGTTGGAAATGTATCGACTGAAAAATATCTTAAAGAAAATAAGGAATTCTTCATATTATTTGGGAATGCTTGTTATGGAAGATATCTGATCAGTTTTAAAAGTTGAAGAACTGTTGAATGAAAAGTCATGTACTAATGTCGACTTCAGAGCAATCAATGATGGTCTGTACCCTTAACTGACGAGCAACCTGATGGCTTATTGGCTAGCGCTTTGGCCGTTGGTGCTTCAGGTTCGAATCATGGCGGGGGCATGGATGTTTGTTAGTGGTTCGGAATCCACGTCCACAGTAGGACCTGGTCTAATTAGCCTAAAATGTGCACAAAATGACCGTAGAGCGAAAAACCAAACCTATCAGGTTTATTTAAGTATGCTAAAATAACAATAAAATCGCAATATAAATTAAAAACTGAAAAGAAAAAGTTATCCCAAAGCAGGAAAAAAAATGGTGTGTTCCAGTGTTTTAAACGGAACATACAAATCATCTTTATAAAGCTTATAGTTTGAATTTAAACGGAAGAGGTTGTATTATTAAATGAGCAATTTATTACTCATATTACATAAATATTCACGGACGGACTTAAATTAATTTAAAGTTAATAAAAAATGAATATTATATATTGAATATGAATATTAATAAAAATGAATATTATTTATTCAGTGAGTAAAAACTGTGGCAGATCTAATGCATTTTGAAGCTCGGAAACAGCAAGACAATCACCAAGAACATTCGATTAGAACAGACATTAATAGAATGTTAGAACAGATTCCAGCTGTAAGAACTCACTAAGAAAGCAAAGAAATACTTTCTGTTTGTCAACAGTTTGGAAAAAAATGCTGTCCTAGAAAAAATTATTCCTGTCCTACTGAAATAATTATCCCTTCGTCTCAACTGCTAGGGGAGAAAATCCTATTTTCCCTTTCTATTATCTCTATTTTTCACATACAGACGGAATATAAATCAAGAAACGTATTTATACAATGTTTATACAATATTTATACAATGAACAACTCTCGAAAATGACTACAATTTTGTCTTTCTGATGGTCTATGAACATTTAGCGATGTTGCTGTTTTTTAACTTGACTACATGCTTCGATCCTATGCTCCGACCAGCTATTGGTGGTAAATTGGCAAGTGGACATGTCAGGAGGTTTAAAACCCAGCGGTGTAAGATTGGTGAACGGTAATTTTGGAAGAGATTAACATAATTAATTACAATAAAAACAATTTTTATTGGCCAGACTCGTGGTTCAGAGGCAACGCACCGCTGGTGAGCATTATGGAGGAGGTTCAATCCGTTGGCAGCATTTATTGTAGACTTCATAAAACGGGGAGACTCGATGACGTTTGGGATGTTGAGCAGTGAATTTAAGTCAAATTTTCAATTTTCTTATTTGGGAAAGCGGCTGACTCATTACCTGTAATAAACTGCCCTGCTAGTGACTAAAAGGACTCAAGTTTAAATATATCGCAATTAAAAAAACTAAAGCTAATGTAAAGTTTAATGAGAAAATATTCATTAATCTCTATAACAAGGTCCTGACAGCTGAGTGATTATCGCACTGACGCTCGGTACCACATGTTTTGGATTTTTGTCCCGGCGGTGATGTTTGTAGTGGTCCGGAAACAACTTTAAACCGGAGGTCTTGGTCTAACAGGATCGTAGAGCGCTGCGGGGTATTGTTACTCCACGTACTTATCTTCAAGCTACACACACCTCCTGGGTAGTGCTAAGTGAGTAACGTCGGTGCAGCGCTTGCCTTAAAAACAACTGTCTAAAAGTTTGCCAGCTGTATTAGGAAAGAAAAATATATTAAGGTTATATGTACAGCTGATAGAACAACAATCACTTATTTTCATTAGAATTCATTCCAACGGCCGTACCATGCTGAATATACCGGTTCTCGTTAGATCACCGAAGTCAAGCATCATTGGGCGCGGTCAGTACTTGGGTGAGTGACCACCAGGGAACACCGCCGCGTGCCGTTGGCAAATTTGGGACCTGAACGGCCGAGTGTCTAGCGCTCTGGCGCTCGGTGCCACAGGTTTCGGGTTCGAATCCCGGCGGTGCCATGGATGTTTGTAGTGGTTCGGAATCCACCTTTAGCCGTAGGTCCCGGTCTCCTATGACTGTAAGAGCGTCACGGAGCAAAAGTCAGGCTTCTACCTACGGGTGCTCCATCACAACAGAAGCTGCTTCCTTCACCTTCAATCATGAGTCCGTATGGGCTCGTGGGCTTGGCCAGCCAAGTGGGATAACAAACAACAAACAACAACAAACAGAATTCATTTCGTTTCATGCAGGCTGAAAATGGCCCGCCAAACTATCCACCATCATAATAAGATAATTATTTTACAAACATCATGCTGGCAACATTAAGGAAACTCGTCCTCCAGTGCAAACAGACACAGAAAATGATGTTACAAAATACAAAACATTGGAATGGGCAACAGAAGAAACTCTCATGTATTATTCAGTCTATTAATCACCCCAAAAAAGAAGAGACGAAACATTAGTACATTGGCAACATTAAAAAGACTGATCCTGCAGTGAAAATATACACATGTATATTAGGATTGATTTTACAGCTGATAGAATATCAATCACATTTTCATTAGAATTCATTTCGTTTCCTTCAGGCTGAAATTGAAGCACGAAACTGTCCGCCATCATAATAGGATAATTATTTTACAAACACCATGCTGGCAACATGAAGCAGATCGATCATCCAGTGCAAAGATACACAGAAAATGACGTTACGAAATACGAAACATTGTATGAGCAACAGCAGAAACTACCATGTATTATTCAGTCTATTCAGTCTCTACAAAAAGAAGAGACGACCGCGGCCATCTGTAAATCACTGCATTGGCGAAGAAAGCGATGCCATAATTTCATTTCCTTTCAGTCCGCATGAAACCATCCACCATCATAATAAGATAATTATTTTCCGATCATCATGCTACTGATTATAATAAAACTGATCCTCCAGTGAAAATATAGTGATAATACGATTAATTAAACAGCTGGTGGAACAACAATCACTTTCTTCACTAGAAGTCATTCCGTTTCATTTAGGCTAAAATTTAGTACCAAACGGTTCACCATCATTATAATAATGTTATTTTACAAGCATCATGTTGGCAACATCAAAAAGTCTTATCCTCCAGTGAAAATATACAACAGGGATTTTCGGCTTAATTGTACAGCTGATAGAATAACAATCACTTTCTTCACTAAAATTCCTTTCCTTTCATTCAGGCTGAAATTGAAGAGCCAAACCATCTTAACAAGTAAATTATTTTACAAACATCATGTTACCACATTAAGAAAACGACCTCCAGTTAAAACAGACAGAAAATGTTAAACAACTGGTAGAACAACTATCACTTTCTTCACTAGAGTTGATTTCGTTTCATTCAGGCTGAAAATGACGCACCAAACGATCCATCATGGTAACAAAAAAATAATTTTACAAACACCATGTTGGCAACAATAAGAAGATGACCTCCAAACCAGAAAAGTGTGATACAGATGTTGAACAACTTGTAGAACAACAATCACTTTCTTCATTAAAATTCATTTCATTTCATTCAGATTGAATATGATGTATCAAACGATTCACTTTTAGAATAAGAAATTGTTTTTCAAACATCATGTTGGCAACATTAAAGTGGCGACAGACACAGAAAAGGGTAATAGAGATGTTGCACATCTGCTAGAACAACAATCACTTTCTTCACTACAATTCATTTTTTTCATTCAGGCTGAAAATGGCCCGCTAAATTATCCGCCCTCATAATAAGATAATTATTTTACAAGCTTCATGCTGGCAACATTAAGGAAACTCGTCCTCCAGTGGAAACAGACACAGGAAAGGATGTTACAAAATACAAAACATTCGAATGAGCATCAGAAGAAACTCTCATGTATTATTCAGTCTATTAATCACCACAGATAAAGAGACGAAAGGCACATTGGCAATAATATAAGGATTTATCCTCTAGTGAATATATACTCATGGATATTGCGATTAACTGTACAGATGGTTGAACAGCAATCACTTATTTCATCAGAATTCATTTTATTTCATTCATGCTGAAATTAAAGCACCAATTGACCCACCATCATAATAAGAAAATTATTTTACAAATATCAAGTTAGCAACATTAATAAGACTGATACTTCAGTGACAACAGACACAGAAAATGTTATTACGATTAACAATCTTAAGAAGACTAATCCTCCTGTGAAAATAAACATTGACAATGATATTACGATTAACTGAGCAATTGGCAAAACCATAATCCCTTTCTTCAATAGAATTCATTACTTTTCATTCAGGCTTGAAATGATTCACCAGCCGATCCACCTTAATAATAAGTAAATTATTTTGCAAAAACCATGTTGGCAACATTAAGAAGACTCATCTAACAGTGCAAACAGAAACCGAAAGTGGTATTACGAAATACAAAACATTCGAATGAACAACAGAAGAAACTCTCATGTATTATTCAGTCTATTAATCACCACAGAAAAAAGGAGACGAAGGGCACCGCAGCCATCTGTAAATCACTGCATTGGCGAAGAGAGCTATGCCATAATTCTCGACCAGGGAAAGCAATGAGGAGGGCCGTAATATGCGGATTAAACAAGCCCGACCTTCATCCCGTGTTTTATGAAGGGCCCCACTAATGGAAGGGCGCACGCATAAATCTGGAGCTCCTCCACCGCGTCGCCCTTCCCGACACAAATGTCCAGGGGCCGCTTGATTTAGGGCCCTACAGAGGAGTATCATTTGGGCTCCACTTTGATGACCCTGCTTTGTCCTGGAATGTTCCTGAGGTTAACATTGAAAGAAAGTGACTGGAGCTATTGAGAGAAGCTAATGGAAAAGGAACAGATTTGTGGGTGACAAGTTGGAATATATTTAAAAAAAAATAACTTTAAGGATACATTGAAAGGAATCGATACAACTTTTAGTTTTTCTATGCACTTTTTAGATCACCCTGAATGTATAACCTATTTAATGCACGACAAATTGGACATATTTATTTATTTATTGCTCTTAAAAGTTTGGTTGGGCCTGAATGGCCGAGAGACTAGCGTTCTGGTGTTTGGTGCTACAGGTTTCCGGTTAGAGTTCTATGGATGTTGGAGATGCTATAGATGTTTGTAGGGGTTAGGTATTCACTTTACGCCGTAAGTCAAGGTCTAATACAACTGCTGGGCGTATGGTTGTCAACCCTACCCTATAAAAAATCAGCGCCACGGAGCTAAGTCTGACTTCTACCTCCGGGTGCTCCATCACAACAGAAGCTGCCGCCTTTCCCTTTAACGATTAGTATGTTTGTTCAAGATGTCTACTAAGTAGGATAAAAAAGAAAAACAACAAGGTTTGGTTTGGTTTGGTTTGTTGGTCTGCGGTCATTTTGTGTACACTTTAGGCTAATTAAAGAGCTTACAAGGGTTTATTTATTACAGTTGTATTGAAATTCGTCCAGTGAGATATTGTCTCTGGATCTGCTGCTGACTCAAATTGTAAATACTTTTGTTATTCTATAAATTCATTGTTAGGCTTATTAAAAGTGTATTTAGTAAATTTTTTTTGAAATTGGACAGTGATTGTATTTTATAAGAACACAACGAAAGTGAAAGGTTCTATTGGAAGAAATTAACAGAGTGTGAAATTTGTAAATGACAGGTTAGCAAAGATTTTACTAAAACTTTAGTTAAGGATACATTAAAATGAAGAGCTAACAAATATGTCTATGCAACTTTCAGATAATATGTGAATGTGAACTTATTGTACGAAAAATTGGATATATTTATTTGTTACGCTTACAGAGGTTTATTTGCGACAGTTATATTTAAATTTGTCCAATGGCATATTGTCGTTGGATCTGCTGCTTAGTCAAATGGCGAATACTGGTGTTATTGTATAGATTGATTGTTATATGCTTATTAACAGTTTATTTAGTAAATTTTTTTGCTGAAATTGGACAGGATTGCATTTAATAAAAATACAAAAAAAAAAGTTATGTTCTATTGAGAGAAACTAACAGAGTGTAAAATTAGTAAATGACAAGTTAGAAAAGTTTTTATAAAAAAACTTAAGTATATAACTTTTAGTTTGTCTATGCAACATTTAGATCACACTGGATGAGTAACTTATTGCACGACAAATTAGATATATTTATTTACTGCGTTTACAAGGGTTTATTTACAACTGTAGTATTGAAATTTGTCCAGTGAAATCTTGTGACCGGATCTGCTGCTAAGTCAAATTGCAGATATTGGTGTTATTTGTATATATTCATTGTTATGCTTATTGAAAGTTTAGTTAGTAATATTTTTATTGAAATCGGGCTGTGATTGTATATAACAAAAATGCCAATAAAAGCGAAATGTTCTAGTGAAAGGTCTAAGGTTTGGTTTGTCGCTGTACGGTCATTTTGTGCGCGCTTTGGGCTAATTAGACCAGGGCCCACAATTTAACCGAACCACGAACAAATATCCATGCCAACGCCAAGATTCGCACCTGAAACCTGTGGTGCCAATGGCCGGAGCGCTAGCCAATTGGCGAACAGGCTGGCGATCAGGCTCAGGAATCTATTGAAAAAGACTAACAGAATGTGAAATTTGTGACTGGCAGGTTAAAAAATATTTTAAGAAAAAGGTTAAGGATACATTAAATTGAAGAGATAATAAATATGTTTAAGCAACTTTTAGATCACTCGGATTGTATAACCAACTATACAAAAAATTTCAGAATTTATTGTACTTGATGTTAAATTATCAGTGGTACTGTATATGCCATTTGAATTGAAAAAGTTCCCTCTTTATTTCTCTGGATATATTTAATTATTACGCTTGTAAAGTGTTTTTTTACAACTGTTTTATTGAAATTTAACTCATGAAATCTTATCAATAAATGTTCCTAAATCACAAAAATATCATTGTCATTGCATATA